GTACCTTTTTCTTCTAGACTGCAATCCTGTGTTGTCTGCCAAAAGTTTTGAGAAATATTCCAAGCATTTGGCTGACTATTCAGTAGCCTCATCAATATCCCCCTCCTTGACATTTTTTCACCTACCACCCACATTTTGCCATTCTTTGGATGACAAAAGCCAGGAGCATCTCAGCTGGAGGAGGCTGGCATGGCCCTGGCAGGAAGGAGAGCTCTGTCCCCCACCTCCCATGCCTGATGCCACCCTGTTCCACTGGATCAGGAGCTAAGCTTTTCAGCTGTGCTCTACTGCATAGAAAAGCATTTTGCATTTCCATTGCTTGAGTTTGGACATCTTTAAGGTTCCTCCCTAGCTTTGCTTTCTCATCAGCCAAAAGACCATTCACTTGTGTGAGCAGTGATGACAATACCTGCCACAGTTCTGTGTTTATTCCGGTCTGTTTAGTTTAGCTTGTTTAAGTTTTATTTCTATTTATAAACTTAAGGAAAAAAAAAATTCTGTTCAGAGGAAGCTTTTAATACCACTGTCCATTCCCTATGTATATCCTCCTGGAGCTCTGTGATCAGAAGATAATACTACCAGCTTCCCCCGTGTCAGTTTGCTCACAGAAAAAAAAAGACAAGTTACACAATAGCTCTACTATTGCACTAAGGATGTGCATAAACATCTGCATAATCTAATATTTTCCACAGGGTCAGACTAATGGGTCATGTACTCCACACTGGTTTCTAACTTACCAGTTCTAGCACTGTGGAGGCACACAGTTAAATTACGAGAAAAAGGGAATATTTCTTCAGCATTCAGCTTTAATCATCAGTGATGGATCAGGTATGAAAGGTTGCCCATGGAAACTTAAATTTTGAGCAAAGCACTACAGATGTGAAAACTGCAATTTTCTGGGAGCCTGTGGACCATGTCAGAAACACATAAATACACACTTACACTCAAGTGTGGTTACCTTGTCTCCTGTTCCTTGGGACACTACCACGCAGTAAGCTTGGAGTTCTTGCATCAGCTGCATTGACTGACATGACCTTTCCAGGAGCTGATGTACCTGCAGGAGAAGAGACCAGTGCTGTTTGCTCTCATAAGCGATACCATCGCTCTTTCCATTCCCTCCATGGTTGTCCAGCCTTAGACTGCCCCATTCTTTCCCTGGACGTTGCTCCACAGGGATCTACATCTCCCTTAATGTCTGAGCATGGAAGGAACAGTCTTGGACCTCCTCAGATTCTACATGGTGCCATCAAAATCCACTCTATCTTCTCCATTTATGACTTCTTTTCTGCCTGAAGAGAAACACGGCAAATACGCAGGTGCTGTGGATCACATAGGGTAGTTTTCTCCAGATGGGATCTAAGCTCTTAATTTTTTAAATAAATACGACACAGACCATATTGACACAGTGCCCTGGGCTCTTGATGTGATATTTCAAAGAAGGGCAGCTTTTGGGGAAAGCCTGAGCTACCTCTTGATGGAGCAGTGAAAGGCTTTGAGCAAAACACAGGATGGACAGATGGAAGCAGAAAAGTGTGTGGGTATAGAAGGTCTCTTTTCCCTCAATTGCTTTAAATCACAGTCTCATTAAATGTGGAGGGTAGATGTAGGGAACCATGAGACTCAATTAATAGGTCATAGACTGCACATACCTAATTATAAATCCATTTGGCCCTAGCCTAAACATCCTAATCTTAGTCCCAAAATATACAAGTCTGCCTGGAGAGACGCAAAGCAGCGATAGCCCATGCAGGGACTTGCCAGCCTCAAACTGTCCGTGTTGTTCTTTCAGTTATCACAGTTTATTTTTTGGACACTGAAACCCCGGGGGCTGCAGAGCAGTAAGGCACCACAAAGGATACAGTGATTTGTGACAAATCACTTCAAGGATGAGGGGAACCTTCTCAGTGATATCACTGTCTGTCTGTCTCCACATGAAGTACTGCAAAGGTTAATTTGTTTTGAAATCCCCGGTTTTAATTTGCATTACTGATCAACCTAGCAATTATAAATGTTAATCTATTCTTCAGTGGCCTTAAATTCAGAGATCGAGACTGCTGAACTAAATAAAAATTCCATCCCTTGCTGTGATTTATTAAAACTTGAGTGATATAGAGAACCCACTGAGTCAGAGCACTGATAGAAGCATTCTTTCAAGGCATATCCTTAATTAGTTTTAAAGCAGGATAGACCAATTTATACCACTTTGATTTGAATCAGTTTTGTTAATTGTGATTTAAATAACAACTTAAATAATTTAATTTGATTTACAGTTGTGCTTTCTAACAGATATTCCTGACAAAGACTTATTCTCAGAGACTGACAACTAATATAAATGTTTGATTGCAAAGAAAAGTAGCTTTGAGGTTGCATTTAATATTTGTTTTTGTTAACTAAGAGAACACACTAAAGCCACACTTACGTCACGATATACCTAAGCATTTGTTTTGTTTTTTTGATTTTTACATTTGATTTGTGAGAAAACAGGACATGGTGTTTTTAGTCACCTGATTCACTTTTTAATGCGTGCTTTGTGTCATGCTGCTTCTGAACAAAAGTATCCAGAAGAACATAATTGTTTAAATGGAACTACATTGTGTCCTGCATATTTTAGGAAATATTATCAAAATATCCCTTGCATTTCAAGGCAGCTGATGTACTGAACAGTGCAAATATCGTCAGCAATAAACCAGCTGAGCTATTTTTTCCTTCCATGTTCTTCAAAATCAGAATTGGTTGATCTCAACCCCCCCTCCCCGCCCCTTTTACTAAGAAGATGGAAAAGGATAAGCAAATTTTCCTGTTCTTTCACCTCCCAGTTACTTCCCCAACTTGGAATACTCTAGTCATTAAGTGATGTAAAGCAGATAAAATAAGAAGAAGAAAATGTTCTTTTTGCACCTGCAAAAAAAGCTGCAGCTGTCAAAAGCTAGTTTATGACTCAAGAAACTCCAGTTCCAGGTGTCTAGTTAGTAATTTCCCCCCTTTAGTAAGCTGACATTCTTCAGAATTTTGGCAGTGAATATGTATTCAACTGTTATTTTTTTGGTAAGAGTTTACTAATAAGAATATAAAATCTTATTTTAGGCTTTCATAACAAATTTAGGCTGTCATCATTCTAGAATACATGACTTCAAGTTTAATTTTAATTTTAATTCAAAAATTCAAAGGTGCATGGATATGTGTTGTAAAAACACACATGGAGTTCTTGGCACTGAGGAACCACAGACAAAAGGTCAAGATTGTGAATGGATTAATTGCCATTTATTTTGAAAGGAAACACGACAAAAACACTCTAGATTTTTTTTTGTCCAGAGGATTTTCCTCCCACACTCAGCTGAGAACTGAGACTGTCGTGATCTGAGACATCATTTACATCACATAAATTCTCTGCTGGTATATGTGATACTTTCTACCACTATCTGAATTTTGCAGGAGAAGCTATGCACAGAGCACCATTGTCTTGCCAACAGAAAGGAGAATTGGTGAAGCTCGTGTTTCTTTTGTGTTATAAAGTATGATTTTTATCCCTTGCACCTGGACAAGAACCTTTCACTTCCCCACAAGGAAAACGCCCTGGCAATGAACCCTCTTCTCCACACACCATCGTTCTCAGACAGCATGAGAGAAAAGGCACAGCTCTAAGCCAAAGTGTCCTTTCTTAGTCCAAATATTTCTTCCAAATTCCATCTAAACCTCTACCTGATTAGAAATTAGTTAACTAAGTTAATAGGGCTGCTGGGTAAGTAAGAGAGCTTTTCCACTCAATTATTTGACACAAATCTAACAGCACAGTTTCTTAGGGCAATGACTTGTCCTGGTGGACTCAATCTAAAGGTTGGATTCTATGGTCTTAGAGGTCTTTTCCAACCTTAATGATTCCATGATTCCCATCCCTATCAGCAGGGCTGATGCTGACTGCTCAGGGAGGCTGGCAGGAGTGCAGGACTAGGGTCTGCACACCTCCACCTCTGGACAACGGCACCATAACACCTCAAAATCCACTTTGGAGCTGGGTAATAATTCTTCCCCAGGCTATTCTCAATATTTGGAGGGAATTCCAATATTCTCAATATTCTCTAGGAAATTCCTGTTCCGTGAGCCAAAAACTCTGTGGTGTAACAGAGGTCAGGCAAGGGAAGTCCAGACTGCAGCCTGCAATGAGGATTCACACTATGTCCTTCATGTCCTAGTCAGCCCCCAGAGTATGAACCCTTACACTCATTTTCAATCACTTTTCTGAAATAGGAGAAGTTTGTTTTAATTTGTCTGCAAAGTGCTGCAGATACCACCTGGTACTTAGTTACCAGCGTTAACCAATACCAGTAAAAATTGGATGTTGATCCTTAGCTCCTAGAAAAGAATTAATTCCCCAGTATGGTAAGAATTCGAAACTAAATTAAATAAGTAAGCAAGTTAGCTTTTCACCGGTTCTGAGTTTGCAGCACAGGAATGTGCACATCCAGGATGTGCGGGAATGCCAGGACCAGGCACTCACTTGGGAGGGAGCATGACAAAACACCCAGGCAACATTTCCATAAGGCCCTGCAGAAGTACTTCCCAATCAAACAAAAACTTGTATAAAAAAAAAAAAATCACACAACAACAACCCTCAAAATTTGATAAGTAAACAGAAATTTTACAAAAGGTGAAAAAGTGTTTCTGTGGAATGAAATTTTTGCTTACTCTAAACTTCAGAGCAGGAGTAGACTAAAGAGAAGTGCCAAAAGCAGTAACTTGAAGAGCTGTCACTGTGCTGCAGCTAAGGACATACACCCACGAGTTCCCCTTAGCAACGTCTCCTTTTTTCTGAAAACCACCATAGTTCACAATTCCTACATGCAAGCATCAGCCTACCTGGAAATGGCCACTTAAATGTGCAGAACAGACAAAAGGGATCAGTAAATACCTCAGTCTCATATTTGGAAAGTTGCACTATACATTCAAGACCAATTAAGTACTTTAAAACCTCAGTGAGTACCTGCAAGAGTTGTGTCTGCTAAGCCCATCAAGTCTGCAGAACTTGCACAGGAGAATCATAGAAGAATTTTGCAAGGGGAGGCTCAAAACACACTGATGTAATTTTTAATGTTTTGGAAAACATAGGAAATTCCAGCAATCATTGAATTAAGTCTGAATTTCTTTCTGAAAGATGTGCATTAGGCAAATATAAACCATTTAGTAAATACATGGAAAAAGTGATGCCCTGGAAGAAATAAACAAAAGATACATAACATCAGACTAAACAAGCTAATGCAAGGCCAAGCAGTAACAGCTATCTTTGAAATCACTAGGAAGTAATAAAAAATAAACATTTGAAATATTAAATAAAATAGAAGAAATAATTCTTTTCCCCTATCACTCATGCCTAAAGCAGTGCAGACGTGCAGCTCAAATGTCACTGAATATGGTAGGTTTCATCCCAGCCTGATCTGAATTTCAGGTTGGCTCTCCTGACAACAGCAGCTCATCAAGATGTCTGTGCTAGCCAGATACTTCACCTCCTGTGTGGGTAGGGAAAATAGAACAAGCAAAACTAGCTGACATCAGGAAAATTGAGAAGCTGTAATTCATACAGAATTGGCCTAGAAATAATCAGATTCCTAACTCCTTTATTTGTTCCTGGATCAGATCCATTCTGACCAGATCAACTCCTCCTCAGTGCACTACACAGCTCTGGTGTAATGAAGTGATGGGTCATGCTGGTGCTATCGTATCCAGGATTTATGAGGAGACATTATCGCCTCAAATCGGGAATTGGAAGGGGCAGAGGTATTTTGGTTCAGCTCTGCAAACAAGTCTTTAAGGCACGTTTAAGTGGGTGGGATGTAATCAATCAAATTAAGGTGCTGTGCATGGGTGTATCTCCCCTGACCTCAGAGGGAATTCCAGCGTACATTGGTACAGGATCTGACTGGTTAGGAATTAATTAACCGTGCACGTCTATTAGCAAAAGCATGCACACCTCCTACAGGTAATTCAGCATATTTCCTCTCCTTCCCTGAAAGGAAAATGCTCTGTGCAGATACCAAAGCTGCCTTCCCCGTCGATCCCCTCTTGTCTCTGTTTGGCATGTTACTTGCATTCTCCATTCAGCAGCAGCTGTGCATAGTTGGTCAAACATTCCAAGTTGTTTGTCAAAGTTTTGCTAAGGCTTTTCATCTCCTTGCTTTCCCGTGGGGCGCCCAAACATAAGTCATCTCTGTTGGCTTTTGGAGCAGATTAATTCAGAGCACAGCTTCAGAACTGGCAGGTAATCAGTTAGCTGGAGGTTAAAGTGGAGCATTTTTCCCTAACAAGTGCAACAAAAAGGTGGGGAGGTATTTCTGATTTAGCACATTTTAATTCAGGTAATATATTTCCTAGAGGCACACCTCCAGTGCCAGCTCATGGGCAATTCTTTCTCTAGATGCAATCTGAAGAACCACTGGAGGTGGAGGAAAGCTAATTAAAGCAGAAGGCCTGATTTATCACTTCTGAAATCCACAGTGGGGATAACAAACTGTAACCTCGAGGTTTTAGGCCCTGAAGCACACTGTACCACCCTGGATCCATGACAACAACGAGAAAACCTCCTGCTGACATCACTCACACTTATCCCCAGCCTGCTGGAGATGTTGCTGTAAGGGGTTGGCACAAGGAGGAACCAGGGTCCTCCAAGAGTGAGGGCAGGAGTGCAGGGGCTCTCTGCAGCACTCAGATAACTGGCAGTGCGACAGAGGAAAAAGATTTTGGGGTTCTGACCACACAGATTTTGTCACACAGTAAAGAGGGAAATAGATCACACCTGCCACATCTTGGAGCCTTGATCCATAGCCAGGTAATTGGTAACAGGAGTTTTCTGTAAAGGTGAACTCCATGGAATTTTTTAACATTAATATCTCTCAAATAATTTATTTTATTTTGAGCTATCTCCTAGGAAACAGTCAATTCGTGTCAGCATTAAGGATGCCATGCATAGTTAGGAATGTCTGTTAACTTCCACCCTCGAACTGCTCATCCCTACAAGACAGGAGGAGAGAGGATAGCATGGGACCTGATCTCAATGGACCCTCGGTGGGATCCCAACTCCTATTTGTGCTTCAAGAGTTCTCACTCCAAATTTACGCTCAAGTTGTGTCATGTGGTGTCAGTCCAAGTGGATGCACAGGTAGCTGAGTGAGGTCAATAATTAATTTGACACATCATGGCTCCAAATCCCACAATGATTTATGGATGTGAAAAACTTTCTTACCTTAATCAACGGGAATATTCATGTGCATGAAATTAGATAGGTAAGATCAGGATCAGTCTCCAGAGAAACAAAACGATGTAAAGGCTGTTATTTATCATGACTGTGTTGTTTTTCTGAAAGAAAAAAAAAAAAAAAAAAAAAAGGAAATATTTGAATTATAGCTATTTGATGGGTAACATTGCAGTAGACAGCTTAGTTCTTGTAATCTGCTGGTACCATCAGCAGAGGACTAAATCAAATGTGGTTTTATTCATCTTGTGTATCTATTTATGCAATCCATTGCAATGGTTATTCAATATTTATGTTGTCTGCGTGAATTACTGCATATTTCATTCTCTTTTGAAAACTAGGATAGTTGAAATAGTACAGCATTGCTTTTTATCTGACAGAGCTTTAATCTTTTGCTTATCGTGGTTTTACCTGAACTGTTGTTCAAAAAAACTAAATAAATGAGGTATTGGCAAGATAAGGAGTTCCCATATTAGACCCTGGTACCATTGGTCATGGTATCATGATACACCTGACATCCCTCATAAATAATAAGTGTGTGAAGATCTGTTTTTTCCCTGCCTGTATTATTTTGAAGATACAGCACTCACCACACTGAATAATGATAAAACTGCTCATACTGTAGCCTAAGTAGTCAAATTCCATCCTTTAGGAAGTAAAGATAATCACTTGCAGAGGTCAGGAAAGACTTTATGCTCTACTTACAGGAATAAACATAGTCTGTGGCTCTTCTCAGCTAGTCATATCCATCATGGCACTCTCAGTTTGGCACAAAATATCCCAGAGAAAAATAGATCAGATTTCTCTAAATCGTTAGAATATGCCTGCTGCTGCACTCCAGCACCGAGACTGCAACTCAGCATCTTGTTCCACTTGGCAGTGAAGAACCAACTAAAAGTTAGACTGGAGGAGAAAATCTGCAAACATAGACTTTGAGTGAAAGTCACCTGCCACCTTCCAGGTGCCCACCATCTCCAGGGTGCAGGTGACAGAAGCTTTGCAACTTCTGTGAGTAAAAAGCCTTACTCCTTGACCTTGCTGCTGAAGAAACCTTGTCATATACCTTTTAAGACATCAAGAGGAATCAAGAAGACATCAGGAAGGTCCAGGAAGACATCAGCATGGATCCACAATTCAGATTTTGGAATAAGTGGGCATTTTTCATTGCTTATTCCATACAGGAGCATTGAAAGGAAGAGCTTAGAATGACCTTAAAAACCTGAAAACAGAAACAGGAGATAATTGTTGATGCTGCTGTGCCATAATCCATGCTACCCCTAACCATTCTCCAAGGAAAGAAACTGAAAAACCCCATCAAGGAAACAGTGCCATAAAACAAAAAAATAAAGCATAAACAGAAAAATAAAACCAGACGCCACTGTGGTACCCAAAGGAACTATTACAAACAAAATGTTTGTCAGTATAGGACGCTCCGCTGCACACATCTGGTGTTCTCAGCAATACAGAGCATTTCTTTAATTGCTACACCTGAGACCGAGAGCAAGAAATAAATCTAGGCACTGATCTCAATGTATTTTGAGGCAGGTGGAGATGAGTAGCAGCATGAGGATTTCATTGACAATAACCAAGCAGTTATACATTACTGCGTTGAACAGACATGCTCACGATATGGCTATGCCTTTGTAATTTGATGTCTGTTTTTTAAATCCTTCTGGTGCCAGACATTGTAGAGATAACTGTGATAAGCCTCCCATTTGGTATATATCATCCAATGCTTTTCTGCACAATCCAAGATGTCAGTGCAGCAATATCCAGTGGAAAAGGCAATGGACTAGATGTCAGAGCAGCTGGACTGGTTCCAGTTTGTTGCTTCTTCTCATAGTTTGTTGCATGTCACTGAACTTCTCTGTTCCTGTTTTATTTACTCAGACTGTAAGGACTAGCTACATGTTTAGACATCACCTTGCATAATGGATCCTCATTCTCTCTCAGGCCCTTAAAAACGTGCAAGTTAGTATTATCCACTCAAATTCATGACTTAGACTTTTTCATACAACAAACACAGCTAATCTGATGCATCTGTAGAGAGAAAAGTATTTAAAGACAGGCACAACACAAGAAAGGAGATAAATACCACCACTCTGAGAAGCTGTTTGATATTTCTAAACTGGAAAATGAGCTACTGGTCCTCTTGCTCAGCATCTCTATTGCCTTCACCTCTTAATAGGATGGTGGGAAATTTCTCACCATATTTGTAAATGGTGTGAGTCCATTAAAGAGTATGCTAAATACTGATGATATTAAAATGTTCACCTCCTTAGTAGAAGTAAATATGTTTTATTCTAAACTCAACCTGAATATTCTAAAATTGCTTTTAATACTTTCTTTCAGAGTAGCACCAAGGATTACCTTTTCTTGATTCAATTTTCTATAGCTTGTCCTTTGTGAACAAGTCATTACCAGCTATTATTATTACCTATACATTTTTTCAGCTGTATTTCATGTAGACCTGGTGACCTGATACTCCATTTACCCAAAATTTTCAGTTCTCAGTCCTGTCATTTCCCAAATCAAGAATGACATCTCTTGAACTACGATAACTGCGTTAGAGTGTTCTCATCCTTTGCAAAATGGAAGTTTAGGCATTTATTGCCTAACAGCACATTTGAGGTCTGGAAAAATTATTAGGTTTCTAAGTCTCATTCTTTAGGTTGAAGCTCAGGTAGGTGCTCAAAAATAATCATGTTCTTGGGACTCACCAACACGAAGTACAGGATACAGAGGTGTCTTTAAAAGAGTCACTAGGTTTGAGCAAATCTGAGTCTGTTCAAATGTGTTTTCTACCCAATTTGCCCTACTTTGACACAATTTATTTAAAAGAGGAAATAATTGAACTAAAAAGCAAAATGGATTTTTTTTTTTTTTTTAATGACAGAAAATTTCCTGGGTATGATGGCCCATTGCTCTGATGAACAGCAGTGCAGCCCGAGGAGAGGACTGTGTGATGAGTTCAGCAATCAAAACCATCAGTCCTGCCTGCCATGATCAGCCTGCAATTTTTGGTGAGTGTGGGCATCAGTTTCCTGATTTCATCCTTTTATGAGCACAAGCAGAATAGGACATCAATAACTCCTTTCCTGAAGACCAGGGGCTCATTTTATCTGCATCTACTGGATGCTGACTTTGGAGCAACACTCTGCAGACCTTTCCAGTTTTCTGTAGACAATATCAAAAAATGTTACCTTAATGTTGTTAAACCAGGACAAAGCCAGAGACTTGCTCATCCTTCCCTTTTGATATCCAGAGGAGCTGAATATATTTTGAATATCTGATTTTGTTTGCAAGGAATGCAATGCTTTTTTAACAAAGCTTGAATTTTCACACTGGAAAAAGCCCCCAAGCACATTAAGCATCTTGAAATGATGCTTCTGAATCAGAACAGAAAAACTGAAATCAGGACAATATCCAAATTCAGAAAAAAACCCAAACCAAACTAAATAAAAATACCCTCAACAGCAAAAATCCCAGCTATATTGGTCCTGAAAAACTTTCTTGTGATGCAGTTGTTACAGAGCAATATATTTTCACAGATACATAAATAAAATATTAAGTATACATATACTATGCAATTCAAGTTAATAAAGAATGCATAAAAATTGATGCTACCTATCCATATCTAAATGAAACATTTACTCTATTCCCTGTCTTTCAGAAACTCCTGAAGCAGTGGAATTCCAGACTACATTTCTTTTTCTTGCTAATGAAAGATTCCCCTGAACAAAGATTTGTGACTAGTTCAATGACATGGCAATTATTCCTTTCCTGTTTAGAAATATCCTGAATAGCATGAAGCTGAATTTTAAACTGCAAGTACCTCTTCATTGTGCTACTGCCTTTTCCTCAAAATTACGTTAAACTTATTTAAGGCTTTTATTTAACTTAAAAATAGATTTCCTGAAGCTGAAAAACCTTTGGGTTTTCTTTTGGCCTTCCCCTCGTTACTACTTCCCATGTAATGATGCCATAATGATTCACTATTTAATGTTCTCTGGCTTCAGACTTATACTTTAATTGCCTAATTTCTTATGAGAAAGGCAGATAAGGAAATATTTCAAGAGGCTTGTAAATAACTGACAAGGACCACAAGACTGCAGTTATTTTTAATTTGTATCTGAAATGTTTTGCTGTGCTAGCTGAAATAATGTGTTTGTATAGTTTTTCAGTGCAGTCTGTATCATTTATCACTCAATAACCAGCATGAACTCCATCCTGCTTTAAAACCTCAAGGTATTTTCCTAGTTATCATTACAGCAATGTATTTGTATTCTTCTAGAGAACACACAGTGGAGGAATAAATTGCATGACTTTCAGTAAAAGACTCCCCTCTTTCAACTGGACTCTACTCAGTCTTACCAACAAGATGGTTTCAGTCCTGCATGGTCACACAGCTGCTTACCTTATGCAAGATGAACCACAGTTCAGTCTTCTCCATAATTCAGCCTCTTAAGAGGTGTTTTCTTGGTTATTTTTTATTGTACTCCTGCAAAATAATTGAAGAAAAAACCCCAAACCCTGTCCTGAAAGCTGAACTTGCAATATCTTTCCATCCTGGCATTTAGTTTCTAAGAGGAAATATGGATTATCTAACATACCCAGCTCCCAGCACCATACTGCTGCTTACATGATGAATGTTACAGGTGGTGGTGCTTTGGGTAATAAGAAAGTTAATGAAAAAAGCCAGGCTGGTTCATGTTTTGTAAGAAAGAGACTGGAACCCTACTTGTCAGCTGGGACAAGACAAACATTAGAAAGGAAAGAAAGGGTTAAGTACAAAAGAAATATATTGAAGAAAGGAGAAATAAACTATCATAGCTAGAAACATCAAAGAATATTGTCAGACATGGCTCTTGTGTAATGCTCCCTTGTTTACATGGTTTACACTAATATTGTTAGTTGCTTCCTGAACAAAGGCTGAAGTAAGGATTTACAAGGATATTTAAAAATAGGGTGTAGATGTGGAGAGAGGAGAGATTAGAAGTACAGAATAAAATCTCTTGAGTTTAGATGGGTATCACAGACCTCTGGCTCATTCATTGGAGAAAACTTCAGGCCTTGTAACAGGATTTAAATGTCTAAAAGACCACCAAGATTTTAGTACAGCAGATAGGTAATTCTTTACTGTGAGGGTGGTGAGGCACTGGAACAAGCTGCCAAGAAAACCCAAGAACCTGTGGATGCCCCATCCCTTGAAGAGTTCAAGGCCAGGTTGGACGGAACTTTGAACAACCTGGCATCGTGGGAGGAGTCCCTGCCCGTGTCAGTGGGGTTGGAACTAGATGATCTTAAGGTCCCTTACAACCCAAACCATTCTGTGATGCTGTAATCACAGAAGTGACAGGACTTGGTATTTTAGATTCAGTTCCATCTATCTTTACTTCTGCATCTGCAAAGCTTTGCTTTGCAAACAATGATAACCACGTAAAAGTGAATGACAGGTAAGACCATTCTCTCCAATTACCTACATGCACACCTTTGTAGAGGTGAAATGAAGAGGTGTGCATCTTTTCTAGTTTTAGGAGAGTCTCCTTATCCCTCCTTCCCCACAGAAAGAGGTATAATGTACACATCCTTCAAGTGGAGCTATGGTTAAAATCCACCCCAAACACCACACAGGCAGGCTTTGTTCTGACACATGTGGTAGTGTGCTATTTTTTCTGTCTCTGACTAAAACTAATTGTTGTTAAGCACTTGACATTCCTCTCTGAGAGTACTACTGGTTTGGCAAAAGTTCAGTGAGAGTTAAAGAACCACCTCCCAGAAGCTATTCTAACCTGAAAAAAAGA